TTTTTCAACAAATATTTATTAATTTCCTATTATATACTACAATGATAATAGTTGACATACATGTTTCAGCTCCTTTCATCATGGGGAAAAAAACCCTACTTTTCTCTTCCTGCAAAATGTTGTTCCATATATATTTCTTTATAGTAAATAGGAGAATATCAAAGAAAAATTGTTTGACAAATACATAACTATTCTTCTCATCAGTTTTCAACATTTCTTTAATAACTTCCCATCTGCAGTTGTCAAGTCATCTAAATACCAGAAAATCCATGTAAAACACTAAATATATATGTACACACACACAACTGTGTGTATATATTATATATGTGTGTATATATATATATATATAGATAGATAGATAGATAGATATAAAACAAGGAATTATTTATTAGTTTTATGAACTTTATATTGAGAAATAATGACTTCAGTATATCAAAATTGAATTTTACACAATAAAATTCTGTTAAATAATTTCCCATATCAGTTCTTGTAATCTCACCACTTTGCATACATTTATGAATTGTTAGTTTTTATGGTTTACTTTTGTGGGCAAGACTGATAAAAACTGTTTTCCATAAATCAAATGTATTTGATCCTCTCAACATTATTATTTTTATTCCTATTTTATAGAAAAATCTGAAAACTGGATCAAAACCGAGGACATCAAGAATCGATGACTTAATATATAAATGCACCCATCTGCCCTCTCATTTTACAGTGACATACATGAGTTATGTGTAATGCCTTAACTCTTCTCTAACTCACTTTAAAATATGTATTATTATAATAATAATTCAAATGTTCCATAATATCATAGATGCTGTTGAGGTATCACAAAGATTCCATTCCAGGGAAAGTTCCTCTGTTTTCCAGGGAGGGTGGATATTGGCTACTAAGTGCCTGCATCTGTTCTCCTTCAAGAGAATTGCCAGTGACCAGTGGAAGCCACCTTGCCAGGGAACTTCAACTCTCCACTTCAACTAATGACTGACTGACTATAAATTCAGAAATTCCACATCCTATCTCTCACAGATGCATACTAAAACAAAGTCAATTTGAATACAGAACAGTTATTATTAGAGGATGGGAAAGCAGGGTGGTTTTAGAGAATTAACTGGCACCAAAATATAAAGCAGTGATAACTTCTAGCATTATACATCACAGTGGGGCAATAACAGTTCACATAATCTGTTCCATATTCTAGAAAGTAAGTCAGTCAAAGTCCCCAAACACAAATTAATGATAAAAATAAGGAAATTACCCTGATTGGATCGGTACATATCTTATACTTGTATAGCACAAAGTGTGGGATTGGGTTCTTTGTCTTGTGAATTTGAAGAATGATGGGGTTGAGGTTGTGGCTCAGTTGTGGAGCACTTGCCTCGCATATGTGAGGCACTGGGTTCTATTCTCAGCACTGCATTTAAATAAGGTTCATCAACAACTAAAAAATACATATTTAAAAAAAAAGATTTGTTAGAGTAATAGGAGGGAAGGAAGGAAGGAAGGAAGGGAGGGAGGGAGGGAAGAAGGAATGGAGAGAAAGAGAAGGAAGAAAGAAGAAACTCTCAAAAAACAGGGATCCCAAGAAAGGGCTACTAAAGAGTGGCTGTTGTCTAGGGGTTTATATAAATCTATAGGGTTAAGGAAAGCAGCCTTGGACCCAAGGCATTCAGTGTGTACAAGCTCTTCACACACCCTTTGGTCTAATCAGGTTACTGTGCCTTTTATTGGGGGGGGGTGAGCATCGGGGTACCAATAACAAGATGTCTCACTTTAAAATTTTCTGCTTATATAGGAGTTGGTGTGACCTCGATGAAGCCTAGCTCAAATCTGTAGTTTCTAAGTCCTGATACACAGAAACATGATCTTGAAGGAGCCCAAGTTTCCTGACTGCCCATTTTAACCCTTTCTCTCACCTCATTTGTGTTGAAATATTATACTATACTCCATATGTATGTACAAGTACTATGTTCAAATTTTCACAAAATGGTTGAAATGGAAACATTAACTTCCATGATTTGATCATTACATACCATATACATGTATTGAATTAAAATACTTCACCCTGCAAATTTAACAATTAAAATTATAATTGTTAAAAGTGGCTGTCTGGAATGCTACCCCTTTTAATAAGGGAAGGCTGGACTTTCCAGAAGACCATGTTCTTCCTTACCTCTTTGCCTTCCCTGTCTTGATTCTCTTCAGTACAGCTTTTTGCTGAAGAGTACTTCATCCACAAATCATAAGCAATCTAAGTGTTTCAGTTTCTGCTTCTAAGAAACTTGACCTGTGAAACAAGTGTGTGTACACGTGTGTGTATGTAAAGATCTTACACTGAAGAACAGAATACATTAATAATTTAAATTTAGATATTTGTTCATATAATTAGACATATGAATGATAAGAAGAAACAAAGGAGTTAACCATTAGAACCTAAAGAACAAAAGACCAATGCAATTAGATTAACATGTATACTATCATTTTCCTAGAAATTAATGTCACCAAATAAAACCATTATTTTATAGGTAATTCAACAAAGTAAGAGTTCATATATAAGATTAATTCATGAGTACACAGTGAAATTAATGCTAATTTTAAAATGCACCTGATCCCATGCCCCTCCATTTCTTGGTGAGAATACAGAGAACCAGAGATGGTCAGTAATTTTCCTAAAGTCACCCTGTTGGACTTTAATGAGGCCTTGAACATTTAAGTTTCTCAAAAAGTTATACTTATTATTTCCTATAACATCACAGGGAGGAAAGAATTCTTATAAATGTTACTGAAATCTTTTATTCTTTTTTTCTTTTAACTTTTATTTATTTATTTTTATTTATATATGACAGCAGAATGCATTACAATTCTTATTACACATAAAAATCGTAAACATTATATATTTTATTTACTTTTGAGATGGGTTTTCTCTGTGTTGCCTAGGCTAGCTTTCAACTCTGTGCTCAAGTGACCTATTTCCTCAGTCCCCTAAGTAGCATGTGCCCCATGCCTGCAAAAAATACATTTGAATTAGCAATTCAAAATACATGTATAGAAACATTTTATGTGCTCATTTTATGTCTTTGGGGGAGGTAAAAATAGAAATGCTAATAATCATGTTTATAGACTATCATACACCTAGCACTAAATTAAGAGTTTAGTTATATATTCAATATACGTATATGATGGTTTTCGTTCATCAAAGAAAATCTATGATAGAAAATCTATATTTTAGAGATAAGAAAACTGAGATTTCCTCAATGAGAAACATTGTAGATTTCTAACCTGATAGTTTCTAAAGACTGCTTTTAATCAGTAAGCAATTGGTGACTTCACAAAAACTAGGGCTGTGATAATTTTTTAACACAGGAGTCCTAATTAACTGTGCATTAACTTTTTAAAATTTTATTAAATTTTTATGCTAGCCAATTAGTTTTGGATAGCATAAAAATAACATAAAGGTAGTATCCAGATGCCACAGGGTCTTGCAGCAGAGTAGCACTGTGACCTAAGAAGGTAGCCATGCTTCCTATGTATTTCACATAGCCTTTCTGCTTAGAGTGTTCTGCACAAAGCCCAGGAATACAAAAATAATTTCAAGAAGTAAGAAAAGGAGCATTCCTTTTTTTTAAAGAGAGAGAGAATTTTTTAATATTTATTTTTTAGTTTTTGGTGGACACAACATCTTTATTTTATTTATTTATTTATTTTATTGTTATTATTTTTTTATGTGGCGCTGAGGATCAAACCCAGCGTCCCGCACATGGGAGGCGAGCGCACTACCGCTTGAGTCACATCCCCAGCCTGGAGCATTCCTTAAATAGAGTGTAGTGATTCATAATAATGATCAGTAAAAGACTCAGGGATAAGTTTCATTAGAAGAGTAGTTGAAACTTATTATAGCATATTAGGAAACTATTTACCCTTTTAATACAGAGATTAGATAAACAAATGAAAAACAGTTTCAGGATACTCCTAAAATTAGGGAACATGTTGTGAAGGACCAACAATGACCATAGTGGTTGTAAATGCAGAAAAAATAATGTGGGAGATAAGGGAATCAAAGTGAATAGAAACAGTTGTTTAGAAGATTGTTGCTTTGTTAGTAGATTATAGGTATGGGACTTTCTGACTCAAAGGGAACACGTATATTTATTTAGCTTATAATGAAAGTGCTAATATTTGGCAAGCAAAATACCTTATGTAGCATGGTACACATAATAATTATAAAAATATAAATATAAAATTAGAGAAAAATTAGTAAGTGTGAATAAGAAGTTAAATATGTATTTTTCATTTTTTATCCACTTTGCATGAGAATTTCTACCTCTAGCTTAGTAGGTCAAACAACCTTTCATAAAAATTATATGTAATCCCATAGTTCACCAGCATTAGGGGCAGGCTTGTCCAGACACAGAAGAAAAGATGCACGCAAAGTAGGAAACAATAACAATAAAATTCATACTACAAGAAAAGCCATTGAACATATCCCATCATATTTTCATCTTAAAGGTAATATTATTCCCATTCGCATATTTCAAAACTTAAGTCAAAAAATGATTTCCCCATATATATTGGTACAGAAATTTGACCCTGTTCATCAAACTATAAATCTTAAGCTCTTAACAATAAAGACTACTCTTATAAAGTAATCCTGAAAACTCTGATGTTACAATGAGAATAATTTGGTTAAGAATTTTTAAAGTATTAATTGACAAAAATGTGGATAAATTATAGCAACATATGCATTGAACTACAAATGCATATTAGTAAAAATTTATAGCAATTTATTTTTGATAGCAATGTGGAGAATCATCAAATAATGTCAAAATTTCAGTGAGACAAATAGCAATGAAATTTGAAACCACTTGTATGACAAATGCTCTTGCAGACCTTGTTGACCAAGATTTACTTGCACGACCAGACTTTGCCAAAGCAGGAAATAGGTGTAATATATATACAAGTCTGACTTCTCTCTCTCCACCTTGTTACAACAGATGAAACAAATATTTCATCCTGTTCTGAGAATCAACGGTAAGTGGTATTTCCTTTACTTCAGGATGAATATTTTATTATGCCAATTTATTAATGACTTGTTAGTGGCAAAATGATATAATTGATGCATTTATCTATTAATTTCAAAACTATGCTAATAAATTCTATTGAGTAATTATCACAATATACTTTTTAAGCTAAGAAGCTAACAAAAATAGCTCTATCACTTCAAATGTGAATTTTAATGAATTTTTTCATTCTAAAATTTGTAAGATAATCCAATTTCTGCCTATGACTTTCAGGAGCAATTACATTAGAACTATTTAATAGAAAAAGAAAAACTATTATATGCCTGTGCATACTTCTGCATCAGTGACTTTTACTACTATGAACACATGTGGCTATGCATTAACGTAGACATTATTAGAATATATAACAATGAGAAGTCATCTTTGCTCATAGTTTTAAATTGGTAAAAACAGTTTATTAATGATCATCAACATAAAATATAATTTATCCCATGAAATGTACTCAATTCAAAAAGAAAAAGATAAACTTTCAGAAGTTTTCCAATCAAAAGTTGAACTACTCTGGCTGTCACATTTATGCAGGTAATTTTAGTATTATGTCTATTGTGTATATTTTAAGAAGGCAGTTTCAACATAAAACTTTATACTTGTGACATAAGAAGTGATTTTGGAGAATATACCATAGAACTGCCAAAAGCCAACATGAGAGAAATAACACACCACTAGAGAGAACATTTTATTTAAAAGGATTCATTATTGCTTTTCTCCCTGTGGCTAAATGCTGTTCAGGAAGTTCTGGGAATGTTTACACTATTGCTAGAGAGGATCAGTGTTGCTTCTTCTGCTAGTTAAACCCAAAATCTAGAATGTCTGCCTGTGTGACTAAACTTCTGAAGGCGGATCAAAAGAAGTTAAATTGATGACAAGTTTCAAGCCCGGGAGCTGCTTTATAATGATGTGTGGGGAAATGAATCAGGGACCCTGAGTTAAGCTCAGACTTGCAAGAGGCAGAGGTAAATAGAGAAAAAAAAAAAGTGTTGGAGTTTTCAAGTTGTGTAAATCAGGTACAGCTATGAATTCCAGTGATATCAAAACAAAACATGCATCTTATGAATTGGCAAGGTAGTTATTCATATTTAGAAGTTTTTTCAAGATTCTCACATGATGAAGTTTAACATTATTGCACACTTTGTTTTTTTTTTTTGTTTTTGTTTTTGTTTTTTTTATTGCACACTTTGGATGTTGGCACAGACTATTTGCTGCCTCATAGACACATGATGACATGAAAGAAAGTGACCAGAGTCAGGATTAAATACTACATTTAAAGGTAGAAAACACTGTATCTGATACTTGTCTATTGTGTGACTAGTATGTCAGTATATCTATACCTATAATACACCCACTCCAAGCACATTTGCTGATGTTTTTAAAAGCATCTTTTCCTGTCCTACATAATTCTTTAAAACTTCTCTATTATCCTCTTTGGGGAGTGAGGACTTTCAAACCAAAAAACCTGGATTTACCAGTCAGTTCTGCTACTTGACAGTTTATAGTATTTTATTATTACATCTCTGATCCTAGGATTTCCTATCTATAAATTGGGGTATTGGGTAACATTATCTACTACGCAGGTTTTTATTAGTTTGAAATGAAGCCCATATTGAGTGACACAGTGCCTGGCACAAAACATGCCATCACCACATCTCTGTTGCAATTATATTTGTTACTAACTTAGGACAAAGGGATATTTAAATTATTTTATCTATTTGTAAATATAATCCATATACATTTGCCTTTATAGGTAATGCTTAAATAAGATTTGGTTTATTTATTTAGTTAGTTAGATGTGTTAAACATTTTCACCAATCTCATATGCTTGATAATCTTGTTCTTCCTCTAGAATTTTTAATGCTATTTTGTTTGGTCTATCACTTACATTTTCTCATCATCTCCACCAGTCAATATCATTTATCTGCTCCTATAATAACATTAAATTTTTTCAACAAAGGTTTGAAGTCCATCTTATTAAGCAATAAAGATCCCTCAAGTAATTATCCTTTTTATTTTTCAGTACTGGGCATTGAACTCAGGGATGCTCTACCACTGAGGTACCTCCCCATGGTGTTCATTTCTTCTTTTGAGACAGGTTCTCACTAAATTGCCCAAGGTGTCCTAAATCTTGTGTCCTTCTGCTTCAGCCTCCCAAACTGCTAGTATAAAAGGCATGTGCAATGGTCCCCAGCTTTTCTTTTAAAAGATTACTTAGTTACTATAGACCAATCTGAATTTTTATTTCAATTAAAAAGAATTATAAAATTACCTTAAGATTGATAAATTTAGTATGTTAGCACATACCAATTAAGAGCATGAAAACAAGTTAATTTACCAAATCTTATGTTCTTTGCTAGAGTTTTAAAATTTTCTCCATAAAACAATTTTTTAAATCTTTGTTTCCTGGATAATTTATAGTTTTGTTACTATTATAAGTGGCTTTTAAAAATCTTATTTTTAGGTGAGTGCTGCTAACATATAGCAATGGTGTTTTGTAAGTCATTAGTGCCTCTTGCAAAGTAGTTGTATTCTCTAGATAGATGATCATGTTCTTTGAAAACAATTTAATTTCTCTTTCACAAGACTAACACATATCACACATTTTTTTTATTTTTAATTATTTTATCAGGATGTCTCAGTATTGTGTTAAATAATATCATTAGTCATTCTTTGCTACCAATATTAAATGCAATGTGCCTAGAATTTTTCTAATAACCATTATATTTGCTACAGATATTTAAAATATTCTTGCTACCAAATTAATAATCTCCTCTATTCTCCATCTTTTTAAAGCTATATGTATAGATTGAATTTGATAACATTTTGTCATATATTTTTAGTATATTAATGTAATAAATGTAATGTAATGAATTTCACCAATGAACTTACCAATATAGATTCATCTTTGCATACCTGTTATAACTGTACTTAATCATACTATTTTTAATGCATTTTTTAAATTGGTGAATTAATATTTTGTTTGCATTGCATTTATGAAATAGTTCTATACATCATTTAGTATAATTCTATGCATTCGGGCTGAGGATATAGCTTAGTTGGTAGAGTGCTTGTCTCACATGAACAAGGCCCTGGGTTCATTCCCCAGCAGCACACACACATACACACACACACACACACATACACACACACACACACACACAGATCTATACATTAGACCATTAAGCATCACTGCAATGAAATACCTGAGCAGACTAACCTCAAGCAAAGAGGCTTATTTACTTACTGTTTGGGAAGTTTAAGGGCATGGTGCCAGCATTGGCTCAGCTCTGGTGAGGGACCTCTTCTCTGTGTCCCACAGTGGTAGGATAGCAATGTTCAGAGCACATGCAGGAGCAAGCAGTCATGTTCCCAAACAGGAAGCCAGAGTGGGGTGGGGACACTTTTTAAAACAATCCTCCCAGAGAACTGTACAGGTAGTATAGTAGAGCTACTTCACCCCATCCGAAGGGGTGATCCCAAGTCAGTTAAGGACTTCCTTCTAGGATCCACTTTTTAAAAGGTACCCACTACTTGCCCATAGTGTCCCTGATGGACTAAGCTCTCAACATAAGAATCATTGGAGGGCAGGCAACATCCAAACCACATCATCCTCATCTTTTATAAGAATTAATCCCTGGATCATTTAAATTTTCTGCCACTTTTTAACTTATTATGTCTACTTTCTCCAAATGTTCTTTCTTCCTAATGTGTATTCTGAAGAATGGCAACAAGTGGAAATATTCTGGGATTAATTCCTAAAATGGATTTAAATAAACCCAGTAAATAAAATAAGCCAATTTTCATAAATGAAATTCAAAGATCATTAAAAACACTGAACTCATGAATATGAAACATATATTAAAAATATCATGATTAAATAGAGTTATATTAGGACTAAAAGGATGATCCAAAATTAGAAAATTCACTGGTGAATTCATCAAATTAATAAAGGAATCAGATGAAAAAAATGTTTTATCATTAAGTTCCTACATAGAGTATTTTAAAAAAATAGAAGACAATAAATTAGAAAGAATTGATCATTTGGCAGAAATAGTAGAGTAAAAACTTATAGGAAATATGGCTTTTAAAAAAATCAAACAAACATACGTTTTGGAAGAAAAAAAGGTAAAACTGTAATAGCAATTATATTACATATATCTTAATTTTTCTCAGTTCCTCTCACACAATGGATTTATGTTTCCCTCATGTTTTCTTGCTGACCTGATTCCAGACAAAGTGCTTGTTCCATTACTACCAATATTTGTAATGAATAAAAGTGAAGCCATGATAGTATTGAGATGTGAACAGGAGCGAAAAAATAATTTTCATTACAACTTCAGGCTTGCCCCTACCCTGAAATACACACTACCGTACACTTCACATTCAACACACACCTAATCTGAGAAAATAATTCCTTTTCTTACTTAAGTGAGTGTTTCAAAACATGGTGATATTCCTAATATCAATCAATGTAAAGAAGCAGAAAAATGTGATAGTATAGTTGAATCACTTATTTTCCAGAAAGACATTTTTCCCGCATAGATTTGTAATTAGTAATACAGCATCGACACTTGAAATTGAAAACCTTTGAAATCCCTGGACTTGGCTTTTCTCACCTTATCAGGAGAAATCACTAATCTCTTTGGAATCAGAAAAAGTTTGATAGAAAGGTATATAAAAGGAGAATGTAGCAAAACAACTGTTTTAAAGTGAGAAAATATAAAACAATCTAGAGTCTATTATGAGCAAACAGCGAAGGAAATGTAAAATTGCACTGCACACATTCAGAAAGTGTCTACATGCAAGAGAGAAGAGAAGCTTTTTGTCCTAATTCCTTCCCAAGTCTTCTTGCATGACTGTACTAAATGAATCTGCAAACAGTTCATATTCCACTTACACTACTGTATGCAGCAGCCCTAGGGAAAGGGGATAGGTGGAGCTAAATGTGACGATGAAGAAGAAGAAGAAGAAGAAGGAGAAGGAGAAGGAGAAGGAGAAGGAGAAGGAGAAGGAGAAGCATTTTTATGTTTGCCCCATTAGAAACGTTGATTCCCAAACCCACAAATTGTCTAGATTCTTACCCATCTCTCACCAGACATGGGTCAGCATCAGAGAAAATAAACCATTACTCTTCATTTTTGCACACATAATAAAATATATCCAGTTCACACTGTGAGGTACAACTATACATGAACATCAGGCTTTCTTAATGGTATGCTAGAAAATGGAGGGCAGGAATGTGTCTTATTTATTTGATTATGTATAGCAATGCCTTATATGCTAAAGTGCACAAAACATGGTCAATATTTATTAAAGAATAAAATTTAATTGTATTTGATTTTAAAAAAGGAGGAAGAAGAAAAGATGCATTTTTTTTGCTCTCAAAATCTATAGGAGGCTCACTTGAGGCTGCTGTCAGAGGGGTATGCATGTATAAAGGCTAATAGAGAGTCCTCTGGAGATATTAAAACTCTGCAGTACCCCTGAGCAGGTACAGAATAAAAAATTCTGAGCCACAAGCATTGAAGATGGCATTTTGACCTTTACAATCTCACAATAGTTATAGAAAAAAGCCAGATGAACATTAAAAAATTAGATAAATAAAATGGTGCACATCAATATGAAAACATGATTTAATCAAAAGTGTACTGTACAGACTTTAAATGATCTTATCCAGGGAGAAGATCAGTACTTTTTGAGTTCACTTATGATTTTTTTGCAGGGAGAAGGACTTAGAAATGCTCTTGAAGGATGTAGTTTCTGTCAGGATTAAAGATTAACTTGATCAAAGGTATGAGAGGCACATGATCAAAGGATAATGAAGATATAAGTAAGCAAAGTGTCCTCACTAGAATTATGGGGAAAAAAAGATTGTTTAAAGAGTTATGTCACAGATTGGAATCAATTATTAAGGAAGGGTGGAGAAGGAAGCCAGATTAGAAGTAGAAGTGGAGATTTGGCATGGTGTGGCTTCAGTATTTCTGAGGCTACAAAAGCTTTTAGAGTTGTCTCCAGTTGAATGAAGAGGTCAAAAGATTTTACCTCAACACACACAGAGTGTTCACAGGGAGGGTCAGAAGCCTGTCTTTATCTCATGTAGTCCCTGAAGGCCTGGCAACAGAGGGGTTCCTTGATGGCTGAGGGAGCAAGTATACCACACGGTAAGAAAATACTAGTGAAAATGCTAATACCTGTAGCATGTGATGATTTCTATTTTTTTTTCAAAATGCTTTCATATTAATGTATGTACTCAAACTTCACAAAGTCCCTATGAAGTGACCCTATGTCACCAATATTCTAACTTTGAATTCCACAAAGCTAGTTACAGATAAGGTAAGCATCATCAACACCCACAAATTCCCCAGATTCTTAACACTGAACCCTTTCCTTTATTACTGTACCAGGTACAAACACTTATGTTCCATCAGTATGGCCTCAGGTATCTCTGACACATTAAGAAGTCTCCTTGTGATATTAATCTTTTGTGTCAGCTTCACACAAAATAATTTTTCTCCATGGTCTTCCTTTTCTGCCTTCATGATTATCAACTTGTTCTCCTAACTCTTCTTCTGCTTTTCTTAAAACTGCAGAATAAATAAGTCAACATTTTCATACTGCTATTACTGAAATTTTAATGGTGCATAAGTCCTTAAATTTCCTCAACCTTCTATAGAGAATAGATAAAAGAGTAACACTGAGAAAAAAGATATGTGTCCTTCGTATTTATAGATGTGCTTCAGGAGCTTCAATTTAGCACTTCCAATTGTTCTATATGACCCCATTCTGGAGAGCTTCTGCAGCTGAATTCTCTTTCATTCTACTGTTAGGAAATGGCACATGATAATTTCTAAATTGGAAAAAAAATATCAATTTACAAAAAGGATGGCAAGTAACCATCAAGGGCTAATAGCAGTAGTATACCTCTAACAGGAATACTTAGGAACTATTACTAGCTCTGAATGGTCAACTTAAAAAAGCCATTCCTGGAGTCCAAAGTCAGTAACTTCACAGGTCAGTGTGGCATTAGCATCATTAGGTGTGCTTGAGGGGCTTCATTTCAGTACTTCCCTTGTTCTTTCCAATCCTACTGGAAGATGAGCTTCAGCAGCACAATCACACTATCATTCTACTGCTGCATGTGGCACATCCCATGTTCCCCTATTGATCAATCTAGGATAAGCAGTTCATTACTCCCTGCACCTGTGTTACAGTGTACTGAGCATCTTAATGCAGGTCTTTGTTCCTTGTGTTCTGTTCTTCCAGTGATGGCATCATATCCAGTGCTGCTGTTCCTGGCTGCCATGCTGCATTCATTCTTTCCTGCATATGGAAATGAGGTATGGCTAAGGTGGCTTATCTTTTCAGAACAATTCAGGCAACCAGGAGGAAACATCAGGTCCTGGATCCATCTCCAAAAGTGAACAGGGCTACCAGGTCTAAGACATGGCAAAGTGTTCACTGGTAGCTCAGGCTAGTTAACACACCCAAGCTACATGAGTGTATAGTGCACTGGATATACATTTCCTCTGAATCAATATGGGCATAAACTTAAAATATACAACAAAAAATTCAAAGTGGAAAAAAAAGAGAGAAATACGTTTAATACTTATGAAAATGAAATTGAATATTGGATATATTATATAGTATCTATTATTGTTAATTACGCCTATTTTCTTTCTTTTTTAAATTGACCACCAAAAAATTAAAATTGCATGTGCCTGAACCCTGTGTCTAGCAGGACAACCCATGTCTATGTGTTTAAACTAATAAATTCCTCCTATTCCAAGAAGTGTGCTTGTTAAATCCAATTCAGTGTCACCCCCACAGAAAATGAATAATATATGTACACAATCTCAAATTAGCATGACTTCATCACATACATCACTATATTTAATTTTGACAGATAACTGTGCTAGAACAATCATACTTGTTTTTTAAGCCTTAAAAAATTACTATAGGTCTTAGGTGGACTTTTTCCTATACTCTTATAACATATATGATTAGAAACCAAATACTTTATTTATAACATGATACTTTTCTTAAATGACCCCAGGAACAGGGCCAATCATCATGATTTTTGATGGGGTGTGTCTTTCCCAGAGAATATGTTTAATTTTCTCACCAGAAAAACTCCTGGATGTTAGATTTGACCATTGCTGTTTGTTCTCACACAGCTCTTGGCTTTTTGCCCACAAGTCAAGCTAGGATTCCCTAGGACTACAACTCAGTTCAAACCTCATTTGACACACAGTAATAATAGTAATTGTGTTAACACAATCAAACTATTAATCTGGAGACTTTTTTCTCATTATTGAGGGTTTCATACAAGTAATTTCCTGTCCTTGCAATTTATTTTCTATAAAGATTATATTGTATGACTTTTCCAATGACCTGTTACCTCTCTGGTCTGTTTCCTGTTCATCACGTGTAAAGTTTTAAAAAGGGGAATGACAGAGAGATCCAGAAACATCTTTTGTATAGTCTTTTTAGATCTTGAACACATACAATTCATCCTGCCTTCTTCAATATGTCACAAAATTCCTCCTGTCATTTTTGTTATGTGGTATTATAATGATTTACTTATGCCATATTGCTTATGGAATCTAAACATTTTAAATTAGATACTAATTTTCAATTTTATACTGTGCACTTTTAATATTTCTAATCAGGTACTAAAAGGTTTATTCATATTTAAATAGAAAACCAAATATGTATCTTCATCAGTAGAATTTTTATCTATAAAGCAAGATGGTGTAAGAAGTAAAAAGTCATTACTTCTTTCTCAGAAACCCACATTTTTGTGTTTTAAAATGAAACTACATTAATCAGGTTTTTGAGGTCAACAGGAAATATCTAGGGGTGTTACTTTCTGCTTTGATAAAACACAGAAATTGGCCACTTTGCATTCAGTTGTCAAACTGATGAATTTTGTTGTGGAGTCCTTAAACTATTGCTGTAGGACATTGGGCATTCTTTCCACTTTAGTCAGTAGCTGTGCTGAGATCTATTTGAACAAAGCATCACAATGGCAATGGTCCCTGTTCTTAGGAACATTAAAGCAGGAGGGAGTAATGAACATACTATTAGATAACAGCAATAAAATGCGGTTACATCTATGAGAACAGAATTTGGAGAGTCTTGAGGGTACTCAGTATGGAGGGCTGGAGGATAACTGATCCCAAGGAATAATATGAAATCTAAAGCATTCCTGGCCACTTTAGACTTATATTTGAAATTCCTGCTCATTCCTATAAGATAGCATGTTGTTGTGTAAATCTGGATCAGCAAATCACTTTTATCTCTTGTGCCAACAATTCACACAACCTCATTCTACTTTCCAGACCCACACATATACAAAAATAAATAAATAAACTCAAATATCAGCATGGGAATTAATATCTTCTCAGTTACATTTCTGGTAATAAAAAGATAGTCATCTATAGTCCATTAATTGAATGACTTCATTCCCTTCAAATTGCCTTGGACATTTTTTTTTAAATATGGTAAAATCATCTTTTGAGTGATCCTACAAAATTTGCTACATAATACATAAGTTCTTTTACTACATATGGAGCACTACATATGCACTTGGTCTATGCCTAAATATTTCTCATCTAGACACCTGACACTCTGTCAGGTGAATGTTACTCCTAAAGTCTACAATAAATCATGTTTGTCCACACATTTCCTTGCTGCAGCCTAATGGAGTGTTAATGTCTTCATGGTTTCTACCATGTACTTAATAATACCACTCATATAGTCAGAGAAAAGGAAACTTTTTCTTAAAACCAAAACTGGCATTTGTGGCCTCAGTGAATTTTTTAATTTGTCATGCCATAAATTACATCCCCATTCTCTAAACTTCAATGGTCTACTTTTCCATTTAAAAGTCATAGCTTTGGCTTAGTTTCATTGGCAATGCTTAACAACTAAAGTTGATTTGAAATAAACACTTTTAAAAATGATTCTTAATCTCTTAAAAAATTAAAGATTTATTAATTATTACATGGAATTTTCAAGTATGCTAAAATAATTCTAATTGTGTTTCCCTTTAGAATCAAGATTTGAATGCTCTGTCAACCACTCGAAAGGAAGTTCAAAGTGAGATTGTAAATAAGCACAATGAACTAAGAAAAGCAGTATCTCCCACTGCCAGCAACATGCTAAAGATGGTAAGAGGTGGTAATTTAAGGAAGGTAGCTGGAGGCACTCTGAGCTGTGTAAGAGCAGACATTTGGTAGGTGGCATCACATAACATTGTGGCTTAGGACTCTCATTTGTCATTTCATTTGAGTTGTGTTATGTTCAAGGCAGAATTTCTTCATTTCCTTTTATAATGATTAAATAACTTGTCAGCTTTTTGGAGCAATTTAAGTTATGGTAAGAGAAGTGAAACCAAATCCTTAGGTATCCAATGAAAGGCCACTGTTCTGCTGACTCTCCTCTAACCCTTAATAATACAGGAGGATCAAGAAGACTTCTTTTAGGATCAGATCAATGAAACAGTCTACTTTTCTGGCCCCAGCATCAAAGGCCATATGTCTCCCTAAATTAATCAATAGGAACAAAACAAAAATAACGGAAGGAATTAGGATGAAGTATGCCAGCTCATTTCTATTGTAAAAAATATTTTCAATATTTAACATGATTAACATGACTTAGGTGTGCCTGCTGTGCCATCATGTATAAACCAATACCTGTCTTAGAATGTTCAATTACTTAGGGTAGACACAATATATACATTTCTTTGGAGGAAAAAAAAAAACAAATTTTTTTTTCAAATTCCTCTATGGAAATTGTATAATGATAAAAGACCAACATATCCACTTGACTGCAAAGATTAGGCACCTTTGAGATTGGAGCCATTAAGTGCACATCTTTCCTTTCCTTCTTTTAGAAATGGAGCAATGAAGCTGCAGCCAATGCCCAAAAGTGGGCCAACCAGTGCAGTTACAGACACAGTGCCCCAGATGCCCGAAGAACCAGTATGTACATTAATAAATATATGTTGGACAAATGGACAATGAAAATAACAAGGGACCATTTTATGATGTTTTGTTAGAAAACTTTAAAAAATAATACTGTGCCTTTGTCTCTATAGTAGAGAAAACACTGAGATCACTGCCTTGTACTAATTGTTTGTATTTCATAAATACTCACACAATATCATCTTTGAACTTATAAACCAGCTCAGGAGTCAAGCAGGTCATGGACCACCTTTATTCATTTGAATAAGAAAACCAACTGCTTGGAGTAAAATGATTAATAATTAGTGTCATACCCCAAATTATAATTTCTAAATTCTAACCCAGTATTTCTTTAATAAAAAAGTAGCCTCTTTGTGTCTTAATAATGATTTTTAAGTTTATAACATATATTAAATTTGATCAAATTATTTCTGTTTTACTTTAAAAATATTTAATATATCAGTTACACTTATTTCCTTTTAAAAATGTGATGACAAAAAGTCTGTATATTCTGGGTGCCCACCAAGCATATTTTCTAAGACTAATAACCTACAAGACATGACTTTTACATCAAGGAGGGTGAAACAATGACATAAAATATCACATAAATGAACTATGAGATACCATTTTTTTTAATTATCAAAAAGACCTAGATAAATCAAGCTCAACTGGAAAATAGATATCTCACAAGTTTTAAGATAGGATCTCATTACTATTTGTATTACTGATAATACAATTTAAAAATCATGAAGAAGCATGATTATATTCAGTACAAGATTGAAAGAATTGGCCTAAAAGATGCCAATCTTCTGTAAAAATCTTCTTTCTGTCCCTTTTAAAGAAGCTATCAAAGAGTGGTTTACATTCTCTTTAAGCAGTATAGAGACATTACATTTCAACATACAAAATTAAACATTTGCAGAACTTAAAAATACTGAGATATTTTTTAAAAATTGAGATTTTTTGGGCTGCAAGACACTTTTTCCTAATTCTAGGAGGAGAGTTTAGCCTATGATATTCTGATTGGCTGATTAAAGGGAAAATACCCAAGTGACTTTAAAAATACTGTCCGTTGCTTCATGCTTAGGGTACTGAAAGATTGCCTGTAAGATTTCTTTCAAAGTGTACACAAAATAATGATCCTTAACAGTTATTCACATTTTTATATATGAAAATCTCTAGCGAGTGTGGGCTAGAGCAGGAAAGAAATTGCAGGAGTTGGTGTCTGCATTCAGGATGATTACCACAGTAATCTGAACCCGCATGAGGCAAACACCTTGACGACGTGACTGTATAAATGAGTGAGTCCAGGGAGAGCAGATAGTAAAGGAAGGCTTCTCCATCTGCCTCAAGCTTTGCATGCATGGCCAGCATACATGTGTTGGGCACATCTGGCTAACATACAGCCATAGGTGCTAAGGACCCGAGGCACCCTCCTTATGTGTCATCCAGGCGTCAGTGACTTTAGGCACCATGTTTGAAGCATATGGACTCTGTGACTGTGTGAGAGCTTCTATACGCACATTGCATACTTTATTACTTCCCTCACGAAAGATTTGTTCTTTTATAGACATAAGCTGTGGTGAGAATCTCTTTATGTCAGACTATCTTCCTTCATGGTCAGAAGCAATCCAACTCTGGTATGATGAGCACCATGATTTTATCTATAATGTAGGGGGAAAGACACCTTCTGCAGTAGTTGGACATTATACTCAGGTAAGAAAAGAACTGGAACACCTGCTGCTCTACATACCCTAGAAGTAAAGACTCTCCAAATGTGACCGATTCGAATATTGAACTTGAGGGAAGGCCTTAAATAGATATAGAATTGTCTGGACCTTGGTTGAGTATCTGGGCTGTCATTTTTCAATAGCTCACAGGCTTTTGGTAAAAATTAAAAATTCTCTGTATTTTATAATATTACTCTAAATGGATAAAGGAGAGTAAATGGACATGAAAATGTAATAATTTTAAAATGCTTTAATTTGATTCCATAAATTAAATATATCCATAAGGCATATGTAAACAAAGTAGCATTCTTTTCTGGTTTGTAATTCTTCCTATTTTATATTTTCTTCTTCTCTAATGTACTCCTATTTTCACTTATTGATATGTAGGTGGTTTGGTACTCATCTTTCCATGTTGGATGTGGAGTTGCCCTCTGTACTAATCAAAATTTAAAATACTTCCTGGTTTGCCAGTATTGTCCCGCGTAAGTGTACATTTTAGGATGTTTTGCTATTAATATCAAATAATACCAAATGCACATTAATGTTTCGATTATAAAAATAATAATGAACTAAAAAGTTACTCAAGAAAAGGGGAAGGAAATGAATTTTAGAGGACTTTCTAAAGTTGAGACATACATAACCAAATTCTCAGAAAGACCAAATTCCCAATTCCTAGATTTCTGAAGCTCGGTCCTAATGCTTAAGATTTGGTTTCCCTCTCCAGTGCCATTCCCCAGACTTAGTGTTACATTGTGAATACACGTGTAGTTGTGAATGATGTACAGTTTTCTGGATTTGTACTAACATATCTTACTAAGTTCACACACTAGAAAGTGAAAGCTTGATGTCAGATCAGGGGTAAAGGTGAGAACAAATGAAGCATGATGTATTTCACTGATTTAGTTATTCCAGTCCTTTCTTCTCAATGTTGTTACTCCTGCTTATCTAAAACCCTTGTGTTATTTCATTAAGAAATGGTCAATTCTTGAGCTTCAAAGTCTTTTAAGAGAGTCTTAATATTTTTCAAATTGTGAGGAAGATAACACCTTAAGCCTTTGCCTCTCAGAATTTGTGACAAAAACCACTGTAGGAACAATTGATCATGATCTTAATTTATAGAAAGAAACCAACCCTTTCTTAAAGAAATATGTTTGAATGTTCCAAAAATTTAAAACACAATCCTGTGAGTATAATGAACATATATCCACAATCTGTCAGTTTTAATTTCTTTTTTTTTTAAAAAAAAGTATTTATTTTTTAGTTGTAGTTGGACACAATATCTTTATTTATTTATTTATTTTTATGTGATGCTGAGGATTGAACCCAGGGCCTCGCCCATGCTAGGCAAGTGCTCTACCACTAAGCCACAATCCTAGTCCCTTAATTTATTTTTAATACATATATATATTTTTTTTACACTGGAGGTAGAATGTGTTTTCAACCAAGCTCCCAACATGATTCATTTTGAAGTTCTAGATAACTCAGGTGACGTGGTATATCCAGTTTGAAAAGACACTATTCAGTAAGGTCCTATTGGTGTTAGGTTGAGAGTACTGAAAGACCCTAGGAGAAAGCATCAAATGCCTTGGCCAAGAGGAGATATTGAGAGCCAGACACCTGAAATAAGAGTTATTGAATAATAAATGGAGGCAAGGGGGAGAATATCCTGAACACTATGTCATTTTTCAAGTGCTTACATCCACGTAGCTATACTCTCTGTGCAGAGGCTGAGAGAGCTTCATTGTCTTGGCACTTGTCCCTCTTGATAAGCTGGGACAGCTTGATAAGCTGTAATCAGTTTAAGTAATTTTCACATGTTAATGACCAAGAGGATAAAATTCATAATAAGCTACAGGATAGTTATTGTAAGACTGAGATTGTCACCCTTAATCTTTTTTTTTAAATAGATATATTTTTAGTGTGGATTAACCTTTATTATTTATTTATTTGTTTATATGTGGTACTGAGAATCAAACACAGTCCTTCACATATACTAGGCAAGCACTCTACCACTGAGCCACAACCACAGCCCATCACTTTTAATCTTTTTCTAACATTCCCATTTTTGATAAACATAAAAATTTCACATCACACACATGCTACTTATAGACATTCCCAAATCTTCCTAAACCCTATTCCCTTTCTCAAACATACACCAAAAATTATTTGAAAATCAACAACCCCACCTGGAATCCAAAAACTACATTGAAGCTTTACTTACCCTGTTTCATATTGTAGAAATTATGACATTGTTTCATTTTTAATTGCAAAATACATTTAAGTGGTATTTTTCATACTGTACCCCTTTGAACTACATAATCTTCTTTTTCTCTAGGGAATATGTTTTACCTCTAGCCAGCACCTTGTTGTACTTCATCTTAACAATTCAACCATGTCTGTTGGAAAATGAAGAGAGTATTTCCACATTGAAATGCACTCTCAACACTTTAGACTAGTTATTCTATTTCAGTGTCTCAGGTCCTGAATTTACAGTCAAGGAGATTAGTGAAATGGTGAGTTATTCCCTTACTTTGCATTGTTATCTGAACACACTTAGGTAATGACAGTTTGCATTGGTTATTTAACATAAGTAAAAACATTTAATAAATATCTATGTATATTTGGTGATGAACATTAATCTCAGAGTATAAACTAAACAGAAATTTTTTTAAATGACATTTTTTTTCATTTAAAATTGCAGTGGCAATTATCTTAGTAGAATAAATACCCCTTATGACAAAGGAGCACCTTGTGGCAGTTGTCCTGGACATTGTGAAGATGGACTATGCAGTAAGTTCAAAGTGATTACCTTGTTAGTGTAGTAAAAGAGCACAACGTTTTATTTTTAAAGAATTTAGAACTCTGAATGTAATCAGTTTAAGTGATACCTTCATGCAAACCAATAACATAAGAGTATTTTTAAGTACAAATTTTTCACGCTTCTGTATCTAAGCATTATTTGAAATGAAAACCCTATTATCATATATAATCTAAAGAATTATCCACAATTTATGTGTATTTATGACTATACTTAGCTTGTTATATATTGGCATCTTTGAAAATGTTTCCATGGGAATAATTCATCCTTGCATCAAGATTAGTGTCATTAGCTAGGAGCAGGGGCCTGCAATCCAAGAGATTCAGAAGGCTGAGGCAGGAGGATCACAAGTTCAGTGCCCTAAGCAACTTCATGGGCCCTGTCTCAAAATAAAAATAAAGACTGGGGAATGTAGCTCAATTGCAACCCTGGGTTCAGTCTTCAGAACCAAAAAATAAAAAGAAAAGGGAAAAGACTAATGTCAATGTCATTATATCAAAGCTGGCATTTTTAAAAGGGAAAACAGATACATATTGAAGGGTTTTAAATGATACAATATGGCTCAGTCCAGAGAGGCAAAACAAAAATAGCAATTTTTATATGCCAATAAATTTATCACAATTCCCTAATTCATCCATAATGTTCTTAGAATTGTTACATTTAATTTAAAATAACTTACACCTCCTTTCGTTAGTAATGTGTGTACATTTTTAAAAGTTAAAATCAAATCCATATATGGTATTATTTCAAATGGTTTAGAAAAGAGAGAGTAAAATAAATATCATATATTACCTAATATTCAGTATTATTAATGGAATTACAAAGAGTAAGGATTTGGGTTTGTAAAATTATTTGTGTTAGTAAAATTATTATGAACAATGCATGTGACCAATTCACTAAGATTTTTTACCTTTCAAACTACATTCATCTGAGTAAATTATATCAATCCTTTCTGAATGAATTTTGAAATTATTCTTCAGCATTTTGATGATGTCAAACCTCTAACTAAAGGAAATAAAATCCAAGTGTCCATGCCTCACTAAGGAAATTTGAGCCTATCCATCAGTAATGAGTATCTACCTGAAAGATTTTACACAGAAGTGTTATGATCAGGAGTGTGTTTTATAAAGAGTTCCTGGAGGTAGTATGAAGAAATAATAGAATAAAAGCTAGCTATGAGACAGTTGATAAATATGGACTCACAAACAAATGTAAATCTTTACTGTATTAGTGCCAAAGGAATGAAAAGTAGTAAGCAGCTGAGAGAGAGAGAGAGAGAGAGAGAGAGAGAGAGAGAGAAAAATAGTTAGTAATTGTTGGTTGTGCTTATTAAATGCTGATAAAAAAATAAAGAGAGTGCTGGCTATGGTGGTGCATGCCTGTAGTCTCAGTTGCTTGGGAGACTTAAGCAGAAGGGTCACTTGAATGAATGAATTTGAGACCAGTCTAGATGACATTGGTGAAACCCTTTCTCAAAAATCTAAAACAAAAAGTAAAAAGAAACAAGATCCTGTTATTTCCTAGTTCCTGTTTTGAATTATTCAGTTGTTAGAACTGCCATTTCTCTGAAACTGGATCAATAGAAGGTTATGGGCTCCTGGATATCAACAAAATGTAAAGATTATAGATAGGATGATGAATATAATTTGAGATTTGTTCAATTTTTGTCCACTGAGGGGTGTTAGAAAATAGAAATGTTCGATACTCTATATCTTTATCTTTCTACAAAATTACTCCTGTGAGAAAGACTAGTGACATTAGAGTCTAGGTTAACTGTGTCCATAAAATTTCTACAATAATGAAAATATTCAGGATTTTCACTATGCTCTAAGGTAGCCCCCTTTTAGATTTCAATGACTATTGAGCACTTGGTATAAAACTGGTGTTGCCATGGTTCTGAAATATTACTTTTAATTAAATGTAAGATTGAACAAGCATATGTCTAGTGCTATCATTTTGGATAACGCAATTCTAGACAGATTCACTTATGTGAATTTTATTCTATTTTTTTTTAATTTGGAATATATTTTATTTTTTCCACAATTTTTATTGGTGCACTATAGTTGTACATGTGGTGGATTTGTTGCACATTCACACATGCTTTCAATATAACAATATAATTTGACCAATACCACTCACTAGCATTTCCTACTGTACATTTTAAAAATAGAAAGCCCAGTTTATCTTAGAAACATTTTTAAATCCTCAAATTGAACAAAAAATAAAGCAAAGTTTGTTCTTCTCAAGATTGAGACAATCATCAAAGTGTAATGAGATCAACTTGGTAGCTCACTTCCCTTCTCCAAATTCACATTGAATTTACTGTGTGTTGCTGCTATGGAGGAAAACGATAATAAGGTTTTTAATTTTTTTTTTAATTTCAGCCAATGGTTGTGATTATGAAGATGGCTATGCTAACTGTCAAGATCTGAAAAATGCACTAACCTGTAAAAATCCAATAATCAAGAATAGTTGCAAAGCCACCTGCAATTGTGAAAACAAAATTTATTAAATAATGAGTACCCATGAGCAGTGGTAGGTAAAGAAAGTCCAAATCATCTGTTGATATTTGATGTGAACTACCAGGAAAATTATGGGCAGGTTAGCTGCAAATTTTATTCCAAGCAGTGAAGAATCCTTTTCATCTAGATCTGCTTCTAATTTTACAGAAATCTTTTCTATGCAGATGATTAAAAAGAAAATCCATGATAGCAACTTTTGATTTTGATATATGAAATTTTTTAATTTAAATTTACTCAAGTTGAGGATTCTAAAAGTTATATTTTCCTATGACTAAAGTTGCTAAAAATCTGGATTAAAATTGAGAATTATGTTCCCAGAACACAATATACTCAAAAAACAGAATGTGATTGTCATTGTCACATGAATCCTGGGCTATAGTCATTCTTTCTTGTTCCACCTGAGTAACTCTAAAGTGTCCATGTATACTGTCTTTAATTCCTTCTCATTTATTCTTCTTCACACTCATCTGGATCTCAGTCTCATAATTAAATTAAAAGTGATATTCTTAGTTAACTGGAGTTCATTTTGCCAAAATCAATGAAGACTTTTGATTCTTCTTTTGCAAAAATTTTACAGTAGAATATGTCACACTTTCCTTTATAAACCTCTCTTCCCTTAGACAAATCTTCCTTAAAAAAAATTCAAAATCATTTAAGCATTCAATCTCCCCTTAAGAAGTTAGAACTCATTCCCATCCCTTTTTGAATCTTCTCTGAATTCATTGACTTACTTTCTAAGAATAAACAATGGAAAGGAAATAATATTCACTTTACAATGGATAAATCTGACAAATGTCATCCTACTCAAGTAATTCGAATTCAAAACTCTTTTATTGATGTTTGAAATAAAGTACTCTTCCTTGAAACACTTTCAAAATACAACTTTTAGAACAGAAAATTTTTATTCAGGATAACTACTTCAACAATTTGGACTATTAACAGGAAACAAAATGAAAGTTAATCTTATCAGCATGTTAATCCTTTCTAAGAATTGGTTTGAATTTATGATTATATGTTTTTTTAATAATGTAATATTATAATACTTATAATGTCTTATTAATAACATTGTAATAACATTAAATTTCTTATCCCTCACCACATGTATTTGTTGTATTTATCCCATATCTCAATTAACAACCAGTAACAGAAATCTGTGGGTATAAAGTATGGAAATATCCCAAAGAAATTGCTTATTCATAATTTGGATAACAATCCTTAATTTTGGACATATTAACATAAGTTCTTTGTATTTTCTAAAGTAATAGATTACGAAAACAAAATATGAAGACAGTAAATTTTATCTGAAATTTGTATAATGGCTCTATATTAAAAGGAAAGAGGAGCTGATGAAGAGAAAAATATAAAAACACGCAAAAATGTATACTTTAAAATATATGCATTGCCTATTCTATATATAATATTACTGTGTGGATTATTTAGCTGTTTACCAACTAATGCTTCACTGTGGAAAAATTATATAGCAATGCACTATCCCTAGTTTACATTTCCTGGCCATTTTTTAGAATGCAACTTAGTATTTTGCTGCTGTTGTCAATAGGGAGATCCAGCAATTCATAATTAAAAACACTATGATTAACTCACAAAAATCAATGACTATAATGACCTATGTAACTACATTATTGGTCATTTCATCACACCAAATTCTTCCTAGTGTTATAAAATGTATGTATATTTTGGGGGGGAACCAGGGATTGAACTCAGTGGCACTCAGCCACTGAGCCATGTCCCCAACCCTATTTTTGTGTTTTATTTAGAGACAGGGTCTCACTGAGTTGGTTAGTGCCTCACTATTGCTGAGACTGGCTTTGAACTCACTATCCTCCTGTCTTAGCCTCCCAGATGCTGGGAGTACAGACTCATACTGCCTCGATAGTAAAATATATATTTGACATTCATTATCACATTAGCATTTTTTCTTACTGCTGCCATTTCCCATAGACATCACCAATATTCAGTGTTAATATTTTTTTCAATTTTAGCCATTCTTATCTAATGTAATTTCATCTCAATGTAATTTTAGTTTTCATTCTCTAGATATTATTGAGACTGAGCAGTTTTTCATGTACTGTCTTATATCTTCTTTGTATAATGTCTAAACCAATTTTTTGCTCCTTTAAGATATTAAGCCTAAAAATTGTGATGTGTATTAGGATTCTCTAGAGGTACAAAACTAAGGCAGTGTATATATAATTATGAAAGGTTATTTATTAGATTGGGTAACATAATCAGAAGCTATATACTCCCAGCATGTCTGCAAGCTGAAGAGCTAAGGGAACTAGTAGCTACTCAGTTTAGGAAGCTGGAAGTCTCTGCATGACCTAACAGAAGTCTGAGGCTAATGGCTTGGATAGATACTGGTGTAAGACTAGACTCAAATGCTTCCAAAATTGGCATATGACATTTATAAGAAATGGCAGAAACAAGAAAAAATGTACCCACACAAGGTAAATCAAGGTTTCACAAACTGATAAGTTTTCTTCTTCTTCCACTTTTTGTCCCTTCAGGCCCACAGCCAATTGTCTTCTGCCACACACATTCAGGTCAGGTGTTTTCCCGTCAGTTTACTGCTCCACATGCCAATCATCTCTAGAAACATGCTCACAGACATACCTAAAAGGGTGCATTATCAATATTATGAGTCTGTCAATTCAGTCAGTAGCTAAAATTAACTGTTACACAATATTTATCATTTAAGTGCTAAATGCATATATTTACCAAATAGCACTCTGTCATCATATTCATGTTTTATTAATTCTTTATCCCTGTGTATAACTTGTTTACATGTTTCCTGATGGTATCCTTTGATTAAAAATATTTTATTTTAATGAAGTTAATTTTTCCATTTTTATTTTATGAACACTACTTGAGGTGGCCTGTCCAATAAAATTTGCTTACTTTCAAAACAAATATATTCTACATTTTCTTCTGCATGATTTGCGAATTTCTATAGATTTATGATCCATCTTATATTATTTATTATTTGTTTATTTACTTATTTATTTACTTATTTTATGGGGCTAGGGATTGAACCCAGGGTCTTGAGCATGGGAGGCAAGCATTCTACCAACTGAGCTATAACTCCAGCCCTTATGATCCATCTTAAGACAAAGTTTTTAATATAAGATTCAATTTTTTTTCCCATGTGGATATCCAGCTTTCCCAGCCTCATTTGTCAAAAATAATTTTCTTTCCTTATTGGGTCATTTCAACACCATCTTAGGAAATCAGATGAGTGTCTAAGTGGGTCTCTATTTCTGACTTCATTATATTTCTTTTTTTTTAAAGAGAAAGAGAGATAATTTCAATATTTATTTTTTCAGTTTTTGACAGACACAACACCTTTGTTTGTATGTGGTGCTAAGGATCGAACCCGGGCCGCACACATGCCAGGCGAGCGCGCTGCCACTTGAGCCACATCCCCAGCCCAATTACATTTCATTGATCTATGTGCTGTTCCTTGTATCTTCTCTTAATTACTGTAGCTTGAAGTTCTCAAAATCAATAGTATAAGATATCCAAATTTTCTTCTTTTGAAAGATTACTATGGATATTTTAGGCCCTTTATATCTCTATATAATTTCTAGAATTAGCTTGTTAGATTTTACGTACAAATTCATATATTTAAGTTTAATCAAAAAGATAACACATCATAATCAAATAGATTTTATTCCAGGCATGCAAGGTTGGTTCTATATATGCAAATAAATAATGTAATTCACTACTTAAACAGAATTATTTCACAAATTATATGATCCTATCAATAGATGTGAAAAGGACTGTGAGAAATTCAACACTCATTCATACTTAAAACATTGAAAAAACTAGGGATCAAAGAGACTTACCTCAATATTTTAAAGGCCATTTTTTACAAAAAAAAAAAAAAAAGCCAATATACTAAATGGAGAAAATCCAAAATTATTTCCTTTAAAATCAGAAAAAAGACAAGGTTATCAACTCTTCCCACTCTAATTCAATACAGTCCAAGAAACGTTAAGACAGCAATCAGGAAAGTAAAGGAAATAAAATGGATACAAATAGGAAAAGAAGAAGTCAAACTATCTCTGTTTGCCAATGACCTGATTCTATATTTAAAAAATCTTCCCCACACCCAACAACAACAAAAATCCACTGGAAGTCTCGTAGAGCTTATAAATGAGTTCAGCAAAGTAGTAGGTGTAAGATCAATTCCCATAATGAATTGCTTTCCTACACTCCAATAGTGATTCACCAAGGAAGAAATCAGGAAAACCATCCCATTCACAATAGTCTCAAAAACAAAAACAAACAAACCCCAAACAGATAAATAAACAAACAAACAAAAAACCTGGGAATTAATCTAACCAAGGAGATAAAAGGGTTCTATGATGAAAATTATAGAACACTGAAGAAAGAAATTGAAGAAGACCTTAGAAAATGAAAAGACAAGCCATGTTCTTGGATATGCAGAATCAATATTATCCAAATGGCCATACTACCAAAAGCAATCTACAGAATTAATGCAATCCCAATCAAAGTACCAATGACATTATTCACAGAATTAGAAAAAAAATTTAAATTAATTTGCAAGAATAAGAGACTGAGATTAACCAAAATAATACCAAGCAAGAAAAGCAAAGCAGGATGCATCACAATAGCTGATCTGAATGTATACTGCAGAGCTATAGTAACAAAACCAGCATGGCATTGGCAAAAATTTGACATGAAGACCAATGGAACAGAATAGAAGACAGAGATAAAAACACATACCTGCAGTCATCTGATAGTTGACCAAGATGCTAAAATATATTTTATTGAAAAAACAGGATTTTTAAACAAATGGTAATAGAAAAACTGGATACCTACATGCAGACAAATGAAATGAGATTCATATTTCTCACCCTGCACAAAACTCAAATCAAATGCATCAAAGACTTACAAATTACACCAGAAATTTTCGAGCAATTTGAAGAAAACACGGGGCCAACACTCCATTGTTTAGGTGCGGGCACTGACTTTCTTAACAATACTCCCAAAGCACAAGAAATAAAAGCAAGCATCAATATGTGGGATGTCATCAAACTACAAAGTTTCTGTACAGCAAAAGAAATAAGACCATAAAGAGAGAACCCACAGAATGGGAGAAAATCTTGGCTAGCTATCCCTCCAATAGAGGATTAATGTCCAGAATATAAAAAGAACTCAAAAAAACATCATATATATATATATATATATTTCCCAATCAATAAATGGACAAAAGAACTAAACAGAGATTTCTTCAAAGAAAAAACACAAATTGCCAAAAGTATATGAAAAATGTTCAAATTCTCTAGCAATGGGAGATATGCAAATCAAAACTACACTAAGATTTCATCTCACTCTAGTCAGAATGGCAGTGGTTAAGAATATAAACAACAATAAATGCTGGCAAAGTTGTGGGGGAAAAGGAACACTTCTACATTGTTGGTGGGAATGAAGACTAGTAGAACTACTCTGTAAACAGTATGGAGATTCCTCAAAACTAGGAATAAACCACTACATGACTTAGCTATTGCTCTCCTTCACATTTTCCCAAAAGATGGAAAATCAGCATACTACAGCAATACAGCACCTGAATGTTTGTACCAGTACAATTCAAAATAGCTAAATTCATAATGTACTTGATTCCATGAGTAAACCTGGTGCCTGCCAAATGTTGAATGGATTAAAAAATTGTGACACACACACACATACACACACACACACACACAGGAGTATTACTCAGTGGTAAAAAAAAAAATGAAATTTTGGCATTTATCAGCAAATGAATAAAAAAAATGGAGAGTATCATGCTAAGTGAAATAAGCCAAACTCAAAAACTGAAAAGCTTGAATGTTTTCTCTCTTATGTGAAAGCTAGAGTAAAATAAAGGAAAGGAGGAGGGAAGAATAGGATAACATGAAGAATCAATCTAATACAAATTAACAGGAGT